AATTTTTCCGGACAACTTCCTCGTAAATTAGGGTCAAACATTTTTTTCCGGAAAAATAATAAGTAAAACAACGCCAAAACCGTTTTTTTCGCCTAAAACAAGGCCTACACCAGTTTTTTTTTCACCAAAATCTGTAAAATTTTGGGGGTTTTCACCAAAATCTGTACATTTAAGGTCAGGAAATTTCAAATTATCACAATTGGCCGAAATTGACGCAAAATTACCACGGTAGTTCTGAAATTACCGTAGTAATTACCACAAATTTCCAATTACCACAATTGTCCAAAAATGACGAAAAATTACCTCGGTAGTAATGAAATTACCACGTCTGGTCACACTGAATATGATACCTTACTTCCCATCATCCCCTGCAGGCATAAACTAAAAGCTGGAATTGCCTATTCCACCGTGGACAGACCACCCTGGTTCCAGAGGTTCTTGTGCCACCGTATTATAAATTAAATATAAATACGAGCGAGAATAGGGCGGGAGTCGGGAGATACAAGAACCTCTGGGTATTGTCAACCAGGGTATTGTCAGACAATACAAGAACCTCTGGGCACAGAATAAGGACCTCTGGGTATTGTCAAAACTTAGGGAAAGTACATTTATTACACCGAGGGAGGGGGATGAAGATGTCTTGAAAAAAGCTCATATTTTTACAGGGCCCCTGTTGAGGTTATCGGTAAATTTCGATGCCCCCCCTCCAAGTTTTTAAAATTTTCAATGCCCCCCTCTAGAATTCGGAATCGAAGGAGTACAATCCGGAATTCTCTCTTATGATAGATACAATTTGCAGTTCCTCAAGATGTCTGATATACTCAAGTGCTTCTCCTCAACGAAACTACCGATCTGCTGCTTCTTTCATCTCACTAGCGCCAGATGAAATGGCATCGTCTTTAAAACATTTTAAATTGGCTATAGGGGTGGAATTATCAACAGGTTGTTGTTGTCCATCTGACTCCATCATTCAGCGTATTCGGAGTCTTGAACACGTTCATGTAGTGGCCAGGATTTCCTGGATCAGGGTAATGTGCTGGAACCGTACAGTATGTTGCCCCCACCCAACGTATCTCCCGGCATCTGTTGCAAATGTCTTTGCATGCCTGTCAAAAATGCATGCAAAAGTGCCAGTATGCTTCAATTTCTTTAATTTCCATCCCGTTTGTACGAAATATCCCATAAACATAGAACATATCATTCTTGCAAATTGTATATGCTTTTTTGCTTTTTGGCGCGTAAATTACTTCACAAACGTGGCGCAAAAAAATTTAAAATAAGCTATAGGTGATTTCATGTATCCATTTAGAAGAGCAGACTAAGGATATCTTAAAACTGAAATCGGTTTCGAATACAACCATCAGGGATGTAGCAAAGCATCTGACGTTTGGGGTGGGGGGGGGGGATGTCAGAGGATTATACGTGTAATAATTATAATAAAGCTTTTTGTGATTGATTGGCACTCTTATACTATAAAGTTTTTAACATTTTCGAAGCTCTAGGACTGAATTTCTGGCGTTTTCTAAAGCAAATTTCGCAAACAAATTGCATGTAAATTGACTGTATTTTACAAAAATGGTTATCATTTCACAAAAATAATTACTTTATTACGCAAATTTTACCTGAAACTGATGTAAAAATTTTAACTTTAATTTGCTGGGGTCAAACCTTTGAAAAGTTTAGAGCCCCCCCTTCAGTATATCAAGAACTTTCAGAGCCCCCCCTTTAATGCCAGAAAATATTTCGGAGCCCCCCCTTAACATCTTCATCCCCCCCCCCCTCGGCATAATAAATGTACTTTCCCTTAGGGTTATTTATGCATAATTTGGATAAAAATTGGCAGGAGCCTTTATATGGATAATTTGGGTAGAATTTGGCAGCATTAATATTCTATTTTGTGGCCATCGTCTGGGCACAGAGCCCCAGCGAAATACCTGATGGTTCCTAATTCCCCGAAATCTGCAATGCTGCGAGAAAATTATTACACAAAGTATCCCTTCTTGTTTTTCCGATCGCGGGCGGCGGCGGCTGTTTCCTCTTGAGAAATGGATTTGTAAACATGGACGATTGAGGACGATAACCCAAAAGGAACAACTTACAGTAAACCACTTTGCTGGTTGCTCATATACTTCTGTAGAATCATAACTATTAATTAAAACTTCGCCATTTTGTCACGTCCTTTGCCAAAAGATGCGGGTTCGAAGTAACTCGATAGCAAGATTAGATTGGTATCATGCTCTACTATCTGAAACCATATTGGAATGTCAGGTACTGCCAAATCAGTTTTTGATATATCGATAATTTCTTGCTCACATTTATTTTTAGAATGTTTTAAATTGTGTGTGCATGATCTAGTTCTGTAGTATGAATTGTGCAAATATTTGACTTGTCTAATTGTCTTGTCCTTGAATTATGAGACCTCGATTGATGATATTGACTGAATGATGATATAGAATGACATTCAACCCCTCATGACAGATTGGCGAGTCGACTTGTTAAGTCCATTCTCTGACTTTTTGTGTCGTTAGACTGATATAGGTTTATACATTGGGTCGTTCCAGAAAAGATCCATACTCCCCCCATGGAGGAAATTTCTGCCGTCCGGATCGAGGGGGAGGGGAGAAAAAATTGTTTCTGATAATAGTAAATGTATTAGGACATCCGAAGGGGGTAGGGGGCTTAACTTCCTATTTCCTCCGTGGGGGTGGTATGGATGTTTTCTGGAATGTCCCATTATAGACTTACAGTCATCTCAACCCATCCAAATAGTCCATAGTGGAAAATTTGTCCTTGCTTCTGCAGGAGATATGACCGCTGCGGAAGACGTAGGCTACCACAAGCGCAGTTAAAGTTAAGTCATCAAATGTTTGGCTCTCCGACGGTGGCTTAGGTACCACAACTGTCATACTATACAGACTGGTTTCCAGTCGACCCTGCCGCGCTGTCACAGCAGAGCGATAAAGTCTGGGAAATAGACTGCATACTATATAGTTGTCCAAGATTGAGAGATAACTTTGGCAAACCTATACTGTAAACAAAAGAAGCCACAGTATGCAGTTGTGTGCCTAATTAACAGTAATACAGCATGTATTAGCCATAATACATATTGTACAATGACACTGTAAAAATCCACTAGGTGAATGCAACAATCATGAAATTCCAAAATGATATATACAGTCTAGCTGAGCTCAGCAAACTTCAAAGCGTCCATGATGAGCTTAATAGACCTTTCTTATAATGACGTCAAACATGGAAAACCAATTTATGCGATGTCCCACTGGACAATGCAAGTCGTCACATTTTTTGGCAAGCCAATACATTTCATAAAAACATCATTTGCATTGCGAATTGTCGCTAAAAATATCCCTTGGAACATCACTTTAAGTGTTTTCCCGCATTTGACGTAATAAATTATTATGTGATGTCGTGATTTAAAAGATGCGTTGCTAAATGCATCGTTTGACTTTTGTTTACTTTTTAAAAATACGAATGAGTGATATTCTCACCATGCAGGTTCATAAAAACTTAAACAGATAAGAAGACTATATATGGCAATGTTTGCACAAATATCTAAGTATCTTAAATCCGGAATCCAAGGAGTGCATGAATTATACAGGGTGTCTAAAATGCTATCATGGAAATTCAACAGGCTGTTGTGCATCACAAACTTAGCTAAACAATTCCATTTTTACATAGGACAAAAGAGCTGTTATTTAGCTTTTCTATGATACCTTTCTAATCAGGGATGGATCCAGCATGATCTGGTAAGGGGGGGAGGGGTGCTCTTCCAGCTCTGGTGCCGAGTTGTGTCGACCGGTCATGTGTGCTGCCCATCAAGTTGCTTCACTACTGCAAAGTCTTGCTTGACTTCTGTATTTGAATTGTCAGTAATTGTTGTTCACAGTTCGCTTATCATCATGTTATTACTCGAATTACTGTATCTCATTTTGTCTCTAATAATTTTTTGCTTTATCATGAAAAATAGCACCACCCCCTGCACCCCCTCTGGCCAGGGCTAAGGGGGTGCACCACCACCCACCTGCCCTCACC